ACAAAAAAAAAAAAAAAAAAAAAAAAAAAAAAAAAACCTTCACTTTGTTGTTTGTTTGATAACTTTTATTGTGACAACAACTGCAGGACTTAATTTTCCGTTTTTTTGTATTGTCGATTTTATTTTTGGGGTTTAGGGAAATTTAGGCCCATTGCAGTTTATCAAACTCATTTGTCTCCACCTTGAGTTTGCTGTGGCTTTACGCTGCATGTACTTCAAATATTTATTATTTTTGTCAAAGAGGTGTGAGTCGGTATTGAACCACCAGATACCCTGGCGAGCGCGTTCCCGAACCTACCTTATGCCGGTGTCCTAGGGCTTTGTACATCACCTTTTCGTTTTTGTTTTCTTGCCTTTTCCTCTTTTTTTTTGTCACCTTTTTGTTTATTTCCGCGGCGTTTTTGGCAGTTTTTGCTTTTTCGTCGCCTTTTCATTTTCTAGTTGTCGCCTTTTTCGTTTGCCCTCGATAAATTAGTCATTGTCCCCCCGATTTTCAAAACGAGCCCCGCCCAATCCTCTAAGCTACTGGTCGTTTAACGACTTCAACGGTTTTTCACAAATTTTCAGCCTTAACTCTTCAACGGCTTTAAGCAACTCCATTGCAACTGCCAAACAAATGCGTCATAGAGAGGGCTGAGAGGGAGAAGAGGAACATTGCTACTGTGCTCGGTGAACCGCAGCAGGCAGAGAGGGAGAAGAGGAGCATCTCAAATCTCCAGCACACACACACACATATTCCTCCCTCCCATCGCCCGTATCATCGCCGTCCTCCTTACTTGACCTATGCTTGCCGCAGCAATCGGCTGGTCTGTGAACTCTCTGAGAGGTTTCCTCCACTCGAGCCCTAGCTCTGACGTCAGCACTTGCTCGAGTTGCGATTTTGGCATGATATCGGCACCTTGGCGTACTCTTTCCAGCGCTCCAAGAACCTACATCATATCAGACAGATATCAGAACAGGATGGAGAGAGCAGAAAACAAAAAAAATGATTTTTTTTTTTTTTTTTGGGGGGGGGGGGTTGGACTGTTGAATATGTGTTGATGATGTTTAAAACCTACATCATATCAGACAGATACGACAACAGGAGAAAGAGCAGAAAACAGACTCTTCTGCGAGGCATATGCCCCTATGAGCCCCATTCAGGCCCTGCCAAGTATCACGTCGGCCGCCCTAAGTGAAGGCAGAAGGCATATGCCCCTATGAGCCCCATTCAGGCCCTGCCAAGTATCACGTCGGCCGCCCTAAGTGAAGGCAGGCACGACGAGGGCCTGACGGGCCTATTTTGGTCACCACGCTACTCAAGGAAATTCACGCAGTTGCGCAGCGCCAGTTGGTTGAGAAAACCGAGGCCCTGGGCAGCCTATGTGAATGTATGGAAAGCAGGCCCTGGGCTGGGTACGGGTACTGGGCCAAACACAGGCCGTTGACAGTTGGGCGCGAGCAACCACTACAGGCCCAAGGCCTGAGTTGGGTGAACTGGGCCTCAGCCTACCGGGGCCTACCGGAAGCTTCTTGGGAAAGGCCCAGCGCAGCCTGGGACAAGCAAGCAGGCAGGCCACTTCCATATAGCAAAGGGCCTGCCTCCACATTTGGCATTCGGGTGCTGGCTGCATGCTGCGCAAGCGCTGCTGCGCTATTTGCTGGCCCGCGCTCACGCGCTCACGGGCAAGCAGGGAAGGAGCAGGCAGCCATAGCCGAACTGCGCTGCTGTAAGCTGGGTGTGGCGCAGGGTGGTCCTTGGGTGCAAGTGGCATCTATGTGTTGGGGAACGAGGTTGTGAGTGAGGCGAGAGACATACCTGATGCTGGAAGCGTGCGACATTGGTCGCTGTATGCTCGTACTTCGGGAAAGCTGTCGTCGTCATCATTCGGCATTGTAGTCTAGGCTAGATAGGATCTGCCATCTGTAGTCTGGGCGTCGAGCGCCAGATAGGATATCAACATTGGTTCTTCATTGATGACGATGATGAGACTTTACCAGCATTGTCAATTATGAGCTCTTGGTGTCTTCTTATTTGGTGAAACTCGTGATGCAATTCTGCTGTTGGTTCGAGGTCACGACTATCTGGTCTTGTGTATATGATGCTGTTTGATTGCTGAAGTTCGCTATTGCTCATCTTCCTCGCACTTCTTTTTTTTTTTTTTTTTTTTTTCCCCTCAAAGCACTGTTGTGACTTCCGCCTCCGTGAGGACCTTTCCAATTTCTTTTTTTTTTCCTTTTTTTCCTTTTTTCTTTTTCTCATTTTCTTTCTTTTGGCCTCCAACCCTGCACCGAGCCCCCGACTTTTTCGGAATAGGATACTTTTTTGCAACTCAGCGTCCCAGTGTACAAGGTAGTGGTGGTTTAAAAGAAGAAAAAAAAAAAGTCCAAAATTCAGGAACATCTTTTCGGTAAACAGACAGGGAGAAAGACCTCCTCCAAAAGAAGGTGCTCCACAAGCCCTCTCGCCCCGCCGCGCCCCCACCCCCCCCTGCCCGGCCCCGCTCCGCTCCGCCAAATTCTACACCCAAGCACTCAACCCCCTTAGCGCCGCAGCCCTCCAACGCTCCCCCTCACCTCTCTGATTCTCCCTCCTCTTCCCCCATCACCTCTCTCATTCTCCCTCCTCTCTCTTTGCCTTTGTCTCTTGCCCACAAGCCTCAATTTCTCCTCGTTCCTGTTCTGTTAAAATTGGAACGATACAGAGAAACAAGATTATCACGGGATGGCCCCTGCGCAAGGACGACACGCATAAATCGGGAAAGAACTACAGTGGTTAAGGCTGGTAGACTTCCGGTGGGGAAGGATACCACAACTATTTTTCCGAACGGCTTCACTGTGGATTAAAAAAATAATAATAAATAAATAAATAAATAAATAAAATTCTGGTAGATGTCCGTCCGGATGGAGTGGCGGCTTGAGCGCTCGGTATTTTTCTCAATCTCAGGCTGCTCTCTCATTGCGACACCGCCATGTCAGCCCTCAAAATCCGAGTCTTCATTGAATGATCAACCATATCTGAACTGACCGCTATTGCAAGAGTGTTATTGCAAGTGTGTCCTATATATATATCGTCACAAACAGAACTGCCCGGTAACACGTGCGACCACCGTGCGCACACCCGTCAAGATCATCAAAGAAATTTTCGGGAAATCTGGGATGACGGAGTACTTACCTTCCGAACGATTCAAGACTTCGATTCATATTCGGCCGTCCCACAGAAGAAGGCGGTGATTACGTGTTGTCTCCACAGGATATACCAGATGACGTCTGAAACTGAGCTGGTAGGACTGAGCCTGCTTACATTAAAGAGACTCTTGAGACTGCAGAATTACCCAGGCAAATATTTTAATGACTGCCTGGGTAAATTCATTAGAAAGAGAGCTCCATCATGGTCGATTTGGGGCCAGAAATACTGTGGGTGGTAAAACGGAAGAAGACTTCAAGACACGTTTCAGATAAAACAGGCGGGGCCTGTACAGTAAATCCGATTCAATAAATCTGGGCCTGTACAGATAGGACAAAACTACGATATCGGAAATCCGACTGAAGTACCACGTATTTGGGAGACTTGGGATTTGCGAAACTTTGTGATATCAGGCATAAGGTTTTACGATTTTCTGCGGTTACTTACATAACGTTTTGGGCCTTTGCAGATACGACAATTTGCGATTTCGGAAATCCGAGGGGGGGTTTCACGTAGTAGATGGACTTGGATTTTTTTGGAAAGCAGACCTAAGATATTACTGAGATTTCCGCGGTAACTTGGATAACGTTTGGGAAACGGGGATAGCCTGGAGAGATAGATGGAGCTCGAGTTCCAGCATGGTGAAAGGGAATGAGCTCTAGTATTTAATAAGTTACTGTAGTTACCTTTCGCATCTTGGAGTCACGCTTCGCCCTCCTGATGAGGCTGGAACTGGCGCGAGCCGAAACCGGTAGAGGGTTGCCAGTAGCGGATGTAGTTCACCATAGCTCTTTTGCCATGGTTTACCTCCCGTTATCTCTTGGTACTTACCTTCCTATCTTTCGAAGAGTTCTCTTGGTACGCAACTCTTATCCTTTGAAGAGAAATTACGAACGATTCTAAGATACACATACTCTTGCATTTGCTTTTATGGCACTGCTTATGTGACGCGTTCAGCTCAAATCAGCAATACGCTGAAATCGGCATCTCGCTTTCCTTCCAACCTTCCAAAAAAGATCATCAGCAAACAAACCAAGTGCAAGCACGCAAAAAAAGCAAAAAAACAACAAAAACAGAAACAGAAAACCCCTCGAAATGCTCTTTTTTGAGTTTGAAGTCCTCAAACTTGGAAAGCGGAAAACACCAAAAACAGAAACGTACATCTCAGAGAGAGAGAAATGTCTAGAAATGTGTAATTAGCGGATGAAAAACTCCGCACTATATTAAAAAAAAAAAAAAGAAACAGAAAACCCCTCGAAATGCAAGTTGACTTGGGCGACCCCAACTTTTGAGTAAGACAATGACGACGATGACAACAATGAAGAGGGCAAGGACGCACGCAAGCACACACACACA